TCACTTGGTAGCCCAGGCTGGCCTCGAACTCACAGAGATCTGCCTGGCTCTGCCTCCCGAGTGCTGGGATTAAAGGCGTGCGCCACCACCGCCCGGCTTCTTTCTTTATTTCTTGTTGGTATTTTTTTTTAATAATTTAATTGATACATACTGCTGTGTTTTAGGTTGCATCGCCACAATATATGGTGTGGTGATTCTTCTCTGATTGACAATGTCTCTGTTTCCTCCTACAACTCTCAAGCACCACCCTAATCTCACACTGTCAAATGATACTCTTGACTCCTGGTTAAAATTCAGAAGCTTAATCGAGAGCTTAAATGCTACTAAGGTACCAGTTCTGTGCAAGTTAGAATGTGAGCGAACTACCTTTGAAATAACGTATGAAAAGCAACCTTTTAGACTACTTTTCAACAATTTTTAAACAATGTAGATTCTTTCAGAGTGTTTGAATTTTCAGTGAATGAAATGTTTTGAAGCGGCTTCTGGCAGTAAATACCAATTCATCCCCACAAGTACAGGCATGTGCTTAGATAAAAAGAAAAGGATTTGGGAGAACAAGTCATCTTGGGTTTCGGACCATTCAAATGAAGACATCTCACTGTTCTACCAAAACAATGGTGTTAAATAAAGACAGCGACTGTGAGCAGTTCTGTGTGTCTTTATGTTTGTTACTGCTTTCCGGCCAGGGTGTGTGTGGGAATCCAAGTCAAATGTCTGTTTATTCATTTGTCTCAACCCCCGAATGTCTCAGACTTTCGTGGTGGCATTTAGGCTTTAGGGTTCTTGAGGTTTGAAGTATGACTCCTGTTTTACGTTATATGAAGTGGTCAGCCAGTGAAGCCAGATCTAACCTGACTATCACTTAAAAGAACCCCTGAAGATTTTCATTGTCACTGGTGTCTCAAGAACTAGGAAGCCACCTCAAGGTTGCTGTTACCAAGAATTTCTGGCAGTGGGAAAGGTGAGGGATGCATTTCTGGCCGGGGGATGCTTAGACAGAAGGGCAGTTTGTGCACAAATGAGCGAGTTAACAGGATGGACAACTGCAACTGGATATTTCTAAACACACACGTGGTAGCGCACAACCACCTAGAACTCCAGTTTCAGAGGATCTGATGCCCTCTTCTGGACTACGTAGGCACCAGGAAATCGTGTAAAGATTTATCTGAAATCTTTATATACAGATGCATGTAAGCAAAATGCTCACACATAGAAAGAAAAATAAAATCAGAAACTTTCTTTTTTTAAGAGTAGGAACAGAGACCCATTTTACAGCTGTTGTCCCCTGGAAATTCAGAATGGGTGTATAGATAGTATAACTTTCACACACTTGTATACTAGAGCAATCAGAATTATTGGCTTAAAGTCACATTCAAATCTAACCTACCCACTGGTATAAGTGGTTGCCCTTTCAAATTATGAACCAATAAGTAATTCTTGGACATAGCACCAAACCAATCAATTGAAAACCCCTCAAAATATCATTAGGTGTAAACTAACACATACATATGGTACCTATTCTTTAATATAGTACTTCAAGGACTCTGTGAGATTTAATACTTTATGGAAAAGGTAAACTGAGGCCAGTAAAAAATAAGCAAAGATGAAGAAGAACATTTCAATGATTGTGATTTTGTCCAGATTCATCAGAAGAATGTATGACAAATTGGGACTGTGTTCACCCAAAGTCTAGAGCTGAAGGAAAGCACAATGAAACCCTGCAAAATTTGCCAGCCCTGCCTGCCACCCAGATTTTACTTGGCTCATTTCTGGTCCTGCCTATGTTTGAGTATAGCCACCAGGTCAAGGGACAGAGGTCTGGCTTCTGGTGGGGAAAAGCAACCTAATTTTCCTTCCTCCCGCCCCCTGCATAAGCCGTAGCGCTAACTTACATAAAAGCAGAGAATGGGCAGATGTGATGTCCAGATGGTTGTCTCCGCTGAGCTGTTCCCTGAGCTCTGAGCATTAACCGAAAGCGGTAGCTGGGAAATCCATGATGCTGCAGTTGGCACTTACCGCTGCTTCCATTTGCTGTTTGTAGCTCCGCACTTTCAGCTGAAGTTTATCCGACAGAGCCTGCATCCTGCTCAGATTCTTCTTATCTTCTTCTGCCTGAAATGCACAGGCATGCATGGGAAAGTCATTTGAAGGATCCAGCCATGCACACTGAATACACTCTCATATGAGGAAGGAAAGGTTGGGAACTTTTTGTAAATATTATCTGATCACAGTGCTTTTAAAAATACATTTAACTCTATTCATCCTAAGTTTGGAGAAAGGAATGAATGGCTCTGAGAAATGGCAAAGATATATCTCTTGATCCTCACAGCACCCTATCTGCCTTTACTTAAATGGAAGTCAAGGCCATTAGGTTTGATATATCCTTCAGCCTTTTTATTCCAGATAAGCTACACTTGCCTGAGACAGCTTCCATATAAAATTTATTATTACAAAAGCCATTTTATGCAAAATGGAAAGCCAACATCATCAATCAAAACAATTCAGTGCCCGAACTTCTGAATTGGCCCTTGGCTTTATGTAATAAACTAGACAAGTCAAGTTTCTCAGAATTCTGTCATGGGCATCAATGAAGATGATGAGGGAAGATCTGCAAGCTGTGTGGATCTCAGTGTGGCTCTCATCCTCACCCCTGCCATTGTCTAGGCTAGGCTTGAAAGGAGGTATGGGGAGGTGGGGTTCCTCAACAGTTCCTCAGGGAGTCTTTGACATTCTAAGAAAGCAGCATGTTGATGTTGGAATCTTCCTGCTCCTGGCCCTCTCCTCACACCCTTGAAAACACTGGAGTATCTTCAGCTCAAAGCTGTGGAACCTCCAAAGCAATCAAATTCCTCTTCCTTCCAAAGAATGAGAGACTGGTATAATAAAGATCTACTTATATGCTGATCTTCCTACTGGTTCCAGCTTACCTCTTCTATCAACTATCTCCCCCAGAGACATTAAGGTCAAGTGTTAGAGGCTCAGCCGCAGGTTGGCATAAGATGGTGGTAAGACCTTTAAAAGATGGAGCCTACTAGACTGCCTTTAGGTCACTGGAGATGTAATCCCTGAAGGAGCCAGTGAATCTTAGACCCCTCCCCTTCCCTTTCCTGGCCACAAGATCAGCAGTTTTCTTGCCCTATATCCCCTAATGCAGCAGGAATGACATCATGGTCAACACTGTGACCAAAATAACCCTTTTTCAGTTATATGTAGATTAGCTAAGGTCCTTTGTCATGGCGATGGAAAACTGACTTTACAGCAAGACATTGGTCCTTCTACACTTGATAAAAATCCCACTGTAAACAGGATCAATTCCACCTGTAGCCCACAGCATTTTACCCACTCCCTCGTGTATTGGTTTAGCTAAGCTACTTCCAACTCCTGAAGGCAGTCTCCCCACCAGAGTACCATCTGACACTCTACAATTCGAAACTCATCTTAAGATTCCTCGGCCCTGTATGATAAACACATAGCGCTCAACCTGGTTGGGGAGCTGAGGCTAGCCTGGGTTTTAAAGTCCCTCCTCTGCTTTCATCCACTTATCCTACTTTAGAAGGCTTATGAAATTTAAAATTCTACAACACTATCTGTTTCCAGTGAACTCTAAAACCAACACAGAGCTAATCCCTAATAATTGACTGAGCAGAGAGACATAATAGAAGAGACTAAGCAGAGCAAAACTGGGGGAAAAAAAAAAGATAGCTACAAGGGGATGCTGATGCTAACGGTGCTCATCCCTAGGAAGGTAAAGCCTTAGATGTGAGGCCTGAGTTCACATCTGAATCAGATTCAGAAGAAGAGCGGGGCTAAGTGTGATTACTGCACTGGCAGGATTCTCCTCTCTAGGCAAATTCTGTGCTAGAGATTTTTCTCAGCATTTACCCAGAGCCTCCCAGAGCTACCCGAGGCTCTTGTATCACACTTTGCGGGTGTCGGCCTGCAGTTGGGGATCCTGTCTGTCACAGTCTGCTTGGAGTCCATCCTGCTTTGCAGAGCTTTAGTGTCAGTGAACCTTTTGTACTTGCAACACCATCCCGACATCTGGGTCCTGAACAAAAGGCCTTACAAGGATGGCTACTTTACTTCCCTGTCCCTCAGATGGTGATGCTATGTTTTCACTAATTGGTAAAGTGTGAATAATGTCAGTGCCCAGATTCCTGAATATAGGAGGTCTTCAAAAGCAAAGAGAAGTATCCAAATGAACAGTAGAAAGCACAGGGACAATCTTCACCTCCTAGACAGTGAAAAGCTACTGGATCTTACGTCTTGGTCTTGCATTTCTGGAACATTTTTGTAGGCTCTTGTGTTTCTAAATTCCAGAGATATAAAGAAGACAAATGGGCAGTGAAGACAATCCATAAATCTATTTAGAGTAAGATCACACTTGATTGCTTTTGCAGTGCATGGGTACAGAGTCTTCCCTGAGGAGTTTACTAGGAAAAGAGAACCATAGTTGTGTTCTTCAAAATAAAAAAAAAAATGACTGTTTTTTCAAGTAACACCTGTGAATGATCTATCACAAAAATACTGCCTTATGGTACAAAGTGTATCTTGACATTAGAGAAAAATGGACTAAATTGACTCAGAATCAACTTTGAATATTACTAAAATAGGCACTAATATTAATCAATATGGGGAGCTTTTTAGAGACATTTTCAACTTACAGGGTTCTAACCTAACACACAAAGTACTGCTCAGTGAATATCTGGCTTGATGGTGGGAAATCATTTCGTATCTGAATGGGTACACTCAATGTACTGGGGAGGCACTTGGAAAAAAATAAGAAATGCACCCATAGACTTCCTGGGACTCTACCCTTAGCCAAAGGACATGTGTGACCAGCATAGCCTGAAAGCTCTTCATGAGAACATGAGTCAAAAAAAAAAAAGAAAGAAAGAAAGAAAAGAAAAAGAAGGGAAAGAAGCACAGCTCTAAATGAGGACATGAGAAATGTCAATATTGTTGAGGAAGAAACAAAATTAAGCCACAACAGATCTGAAATGCAATCTTCACAACAATGAAAATAAAACATTTATAGGTTTGGTGCTTAAATCTATAATGATACTGCTCACAGAAGAAAGCAATAAGAACAACCCATGAACACATAAGAAAACAATATATGATCAATAAATGGTGTCTCATTATAGTCCTGAATGTAGTGTAGGGTCACACAATGCCATTTCTCTAAGGTGGTTGCTTTTTTGTTTTGTTTTGTTTTGTTTTTTATAGCCACATCAAACCTTGGCTTCCAGAGCTCATTGTTTTAAAAAGTGTCAAGCTCATATTAAAAAAAGAACCAAGTATTTAGTCATAAAAACAACTGTCCAAGGGGCTGGAGAGATGGCTCAGCAGTTAAGAGCACTCTTTGCACTTGTAGAGGACCCAGGTTCGGTTCCTGGGACCTATCCAGTGGGTCAAAACGATCCAGAATCCCAGTTCCAGGAGATCCAACACCCTACTCAAAAATCTTTAGGCACCAGGCATGCATGGTGTACAGACATATGTGTAGACACAACACTCAAAACACATAAAATAAAAATAAATATTTTAAACAGGTGTCCAAGTAGATCATTTTAGCTTAATTGGCTCCATTTGGTACAACCATGATGTCCTGCCTTCTTACCAACACTACGTTTCCTGCTGTAGAGAAAAAGGTGTTGACATGTCTAATGACTTCTAGAATTAGAGTCAGGACCCCAGCGCCCTGCATTAGCAGTGTCAAGGGAGCTGTAAAATGAGTTTGCCCTTTTATCAGAGTAAGTTATACTGTGCAATAGGAGAGGGCTAGAAGAAAATTTGGGAAATATGTGTTCACCACTGAAACAGTCAAGCTCTAAAGAACCATTTGGTCACTGACATCCCACAGGTATGGTGGTGGTCAATAAAGTAATAACAGAGCTGAAAAATTATTTCCCACTGAGTATGTGGCTGAAGAAAGAAAAGAAAGACAAAAAGCCATCGGCCACTGCAGAAGAATCCAAAGACAATTCCCAGGGCATTGTGGATTCAGCAAAAAGCTTTCGTGACCTCAAGAAGCTTCTTAGAGAGTATGAAACACTAAAATGTTTACATGAACAGAGAAGGATGTTCATGAGCATTATCAGCATATAAGCCAATCTATCATGATGAAAGATGCCAAGCAAGTCACCATGGACAGATTCCTGAGAAGAGTGGCCCCTCCTCAAGAGGAGAATCAGAAAGAGTCTTCAGGAGAATATTCCAGAAGGAGTTATTGTCCTATGAGATGAAAATCCATATATGTAGCCTCTAAAGGCATTAGAGTAAGACAAGATATACAGGTGGAAGGCCCAGCTACTTAACAAGCTTGACCCTGACCCTGTAGAGGCCTACGCTAATATGCATGTCCCCTCTCCTCTCCCCCATCTCTCTTATATAATTCACGTTTTTTACTTTATGTGTATTTGTGTTTTGCCTGCATGTGCGTCTGTGTGAGGGTGTCAGAAGCCTTGGAACTGGAGTTACAGACAGGTAGGAGTTGCCATGTGGGTGTTGGGAATTGAACCCAGGTCCTCTGGAAGAGCAGCCAATAATCTTAACCTCTGAGACCTCTCTCCAGTCCCTAATGTGTGTATCTTAAACAAAAAAAAATAAAGAATAAAACCTTTATGTACATGTATGAAAATGTCATAATGGGATTTATTACTCTGTATAATTAATATATGTTCATCAAGAACATTACAAGTAGAAAAGACTTTTAAAACAAGAACAAAAATAATAGATAATAAAAATGTAGTACATATTCATGGTGGAACTGTATTCAGATATAAAGAAATAAAATCTGCAGGAAGATGAATGGAACTGGCAGTTTTATATGAGTAAGGAACCCAGGCTCAGAAGGACAAACGCCATATGTTCCCGCATGTGCAGAAGCAAGCTTCTAACTGAGATACGTATATCATATTTTATCTATGAATCTGTCTGGATTATGTGGAAGGTAAGTATAGGTAAAGACTAGGAAGGTAGGACTGGGAAGAAAGAGGCATCAGGAGAGCGGGTGGGGAGGATAATAGAACATGTGTGAGATGAAAGTGAAAGGTGGGATCCATGGAGTGGAAGGCCTGAGTGGAGCTGGGAGATGGGGTGGGGGAAGGAAGAGGCAGAGAGAGCCAACCAAAACTGTGGATGAAAATGCCAAAAGGAAACTGGTTATTGTGTATGCTAGTTAAAAAAATAAACTTAAAAAGAATATAAAAAGGGAAAATATACAGCTATACAATTGCTTAGAAATTGGGAATTACTGTGAGTCAAAATGAGTTAAATTAAAACAGTGCACTGGTTTAAAGGGAGGCTATGGAAAATAAAAAATATTGTTCCATAAATCTATGATGGTAACCAGTATCTACAACACAGTATAACCAATATACTATGGTAACCTACATACTGATAGTCTACAGTACCGTGTAGTTATGCCCTGAACCTATATATTCTCTCACCTAAGTAACTTCCGATTTTTTAAGAGCCATGAATAATAATGCCCTAAATATAAGGCATACCATATTTAAGGTGTACCATTTTTAGAGCATTTTTCTTTACCTTGTCTAGGTTTAGATGTGTTTATAAACAAGCATTTGACACCATGACACACTGTCTACAGATGGTGATCTGCTGCACAGGTTTAGTCTGAGAGCAACTTCACTGTGCATCAGGCTGCAGGAGCTGGCTTGGCAGTGCCCTGTTGATATGCACATTGCCACTGAATTGTCCTGTTTCCTTATGGCACCTCTCAGAATAGATACATGCCTTTAAGCAATGCATCAATATATACATTCCCAACTGTGTTCCAGGAGAATGCTGTGCACTGGAGCGGGGAACAGCCAACGGCCCTGTTATCAGAGACTCTGTGCCATTAAAAAGAAGAAGCAAGAAAAGCTGAATGCGATGGCACAGTCCCGCAGTCACCAGCACTCGGGAGGCTGGGGTAGCATGATTGCTGGAGTGCACAAGTTAAAGGCCAGCCTGGTTAGCTTAGCAAGGTTCCGACTCCACCACAGAGGGGGTGGGAGAAAGGAAAGGGAGCGTGTAGATGATGAAATAAGTCATTCATTTAGATGTGCATTGCTTAGGGGTAGGGAACTTGTCCACCTGCTTTCAATGTTTGCTTCAAGCCCATATTAATGTTCGTTTACAGGTTAGCTAAGGAAGACCACATTTAACTAATGATGTTCCCATCTGGTTCCAGGAACAAACCTCTCAAAAGAGTGGACCATATCCAATCCAGTTAGCATTCCGTGCAATCAGCTGGTGAGGTGGCCACCCTAACATCTACCAGTCACTTCACTTACATGTTGTTCTCACTCTGCCTCTCACACAAAAGCATCTTTCTGAAAGCGCCACTAACACTATGCATGGAAAAAAAACGAAGACGGCATAAATAGTTTTTCACTTCAACTGCACCTTGTTGGCTCTCACTATGAGCTCTGGAAATGGACAGAGCCAAGCCATGGATAGCCCAGACGGGGTGAAAAAATGTCCATTGCTCAGAGACAACTGCAATGTCCCAGAAGGTCATTTCAGGTTGGAGGTACACACTGCTGCAGGAGGAACCTAACCATGTCCCAGAAAGTGTTTTCCTGGAGTACCTGATAGGTCAGCTCTTTGATGCCTCGCTCCAGTCTGCGAGCTTCCCTCTGGGCCTCTGCACTGCGCCTGAGTTCGCCTTCCAGTTCCCCTTCCAGGTCCCGCACCTGTAACAGATCATGGCCTCAGTCCACATGCTGGTAACAAGGCTGCCATTCAGTTATCCAGTGGAGAATTTGCTGAAAGAGTGAACTAGTTAAGGGGAGGTATGTCCATTTTCTGTCTGGGAGTGACTAAATAGGAAAATCTTTCTGGTAAAAATCCATCACCCAAACCAAGGCTGTTAACCTATGTGAGCTCATATAAGTGTGGTTAAGACTCTTGGCAATGTGAGAGATTAATTCAAAGAGAGGATGTAAGCCTCTCTTCTTATACTGCAACATTGCAAAATCGTGTGTGTGTGTGTGTGTGTGTGTGTGTGTGTGTGTGTGTGTGTTCGTTCTGTGGGTGTATATGTATGTGTGTACGTGTTCTGTGTGTATGCTCTGTGTATGTGTGTATATGTGTGTCTGTGTAACACAGCTGTCTGTCAGTACAGACAGCAAGCTGCATGCAGCAGTGTTGAAGATTCTGTCCCACACACCCTGATCCTGAGCTTCTTTCTGCATGTTCCCCTCAGACTCTGGATCTTACCCTGAGCTCTGTCACATACATGTCACATGCAGGCCTACAGCTCTGCTTTGCAAGAGAAGTACAATAGGGAACTCCCTGTGTCGAATCATACAAGTAAAATTATCCTAACAGTCACTGAGAGACGTGCCTACTATTCAGCACACCCCAGTGCCAGAACAATGAAGAAAACATACCCACATCTCTCCCATGAATAAGCTTGCTTCCTCAGGAAGGGAAGCAAACTAAATAAAGTGGAATACCGTGTGTGGGAAGACCTAGGCAGGAAAGGGGCCAGAGCCTTGGTGTGGGAGGCTGTGAGCAGCTGCTTCTGCTGATGGGACATTCTCCCAGATATCCATGCATCACTCCCTGCCTTCTTGACCAAAATGCCACCTCTCCGTGAGGTCTGATCATCATTTTAGAACTGAGGCACAGGTGAGCTTCTTCAAGATGATTCCCCCTTCCTGCCATCACCTCATGCAGCTCCTTAAGCTAATCTATCTTCTTTGTTCCTCCAAAGGAAGGTGCAACAGGGCAAGTAGGTGAGCAGATGTACAACTTCCTTGTGGATAAACCATCAGTACATCCTCTGTGGACATCCTGGACATACATCCACTAGGGACCTGCTTAGTTACAACTGTAACATACAAGCCAACAGAAGTGTTTTTTTTTTTTAAAGGATGTATTTAAGGTGTTCTGTTTTGTTTTGAAATGTGATTAGAGTACCTCATGGTAAAAGGTGCCTTATTGAAGGGAATCCCTGTTGCCATATCTTCGCTTGTAATGACCTTGCAATATAATCCAAAGGAGTAATAATTACTGTGTGAGTGTGTCCCTCTAAAAGTCCAACATGTTTGAAACTTAAACCCCCAATTTTCATGTGTATTTGGAGGGGGAGCCTTTTGAAGGTAACTAAGATTAGATGAAGTCAAAAAAGTCAGACCACTCCCCCTCCCAGGGTGACTAATGACTTTAGTAAGAGACCTTGTTTGCTGTGTCTTGCCACGTGATGCCCCCTACCTGCTGTGACAAGAAGGCCCTGATTAGAAACTAATTAGATGCCAGCACCATGCTATTGGACACTAAGAGTAGAGCCAAATAAAATTTTGGTCTTCATAAATCATCTTATCTCAGGTACTTTGTTACAGGACAGAAACTTCATGAAAACAATGATATTCTAATTACACTTTTAAGTCTATAACTTCTCAGTATCACCTGATACCAGATCACTGCTAGGTGTCATTGGTTCTAGATCATAACAGTGAACAAATGGTAATTATGAATATGGTGGTTTGAATAAAAATGGTCCCCATAGGCTCATAGGAAGTGACACTACTAGGAGGTGTGGCCTTGTTGGAGTGGGTGTGGCCTTGTTGGAGGAAGTGTGTCACTGGGGGTGGACTTGAAGTTTCAGAAGCTCAAACCAGGAGCATTGTCACTCTCTCTTCCTGCTGCCTGCTGATCCAGATGTGGAACTCTTTTTTTTTTT